ATAAAATCTAAAGAAGCACAATCATAGTCATCATAAGTTCTCCGCTTGCTGCTATTACCGAACTCTCCATCACTTTTCTGAAGTCTTTTTTAAAAACAATACATCGCTGTTTAATTTTTTAGAGTGAGGAGTAAGGGCTTTACCTCTTTTTGTAAGATGCAGTAATATTATGTTTATTAACCAGTATTTTGTTTTGTGTTCAAATTTTAATGTTTTCCCCCCATTATCTCTGCAGGTATAACTATTTTTTGAGCAATTCAACTGTGGAGGCAATCTTCAAATAACTTAAGCGCCAACTTTTGTGTTCTTTATTCACCAAACCAATTATTTTTCTCTTAATACAAAACTTTTATTTTGTTCTCAATTTAATGCTTTTTCATTTCAAGTTATGCTGTTTTCCTTAACTATCTCCTGCTTGCCTCAACTGAAATAAAAAATTTGCTGTCATTTTATTTTTTATCTCGAAACCACTGCTTCAATTATTGTTTTTAAAAACTCATTAAATTTGTTGTTCAGTGTAGATAAATCGTATAATTTCAAGGAAAGTAGTGTGTGATAGGTTTGCATACAACCATTGAACACATAACATGTCTATTTCATTTCAAAATGTATGTGATTTTTCGACGCGAGAAGAATTTTTGGAATTTTTCTGAACCTATTGATGGTTTCTGTTAAAACATGAAATTGTCACCATCTGGCCAGTGTATCACAAGCGCCGTGCGACGTTTTAACATTTTTGCCACCATTTTATTTTTTTACAGAGAAATTGTTGGTTAAATCTGTTCGAAAATTTTGCTGAAATTTATCGCCAGCACGAAGAAAATTCTGTGAAATTTTCGGATAGCTTCGTTGAACAATTTCACTGTAAAAAAATCAAATTGCGGCGGAAATTTTGAAACGTCACATGGCGCTTATGATACTTTGACCGGAAGATGACGAAGTGTCCGCAGAAAAATTTTCGTGAAAATTTCAGGACATTTCAATGCTCTAGGAATTTCTTCCGGTGGATTATTCCTAGAACATTCTCTGAATATTCAATGTTCAAAACTTTTCCCACTTGTACATTCCCTGAATATTCTGGGAATATTCTTTGAACATTCGCAGAATATTCTGGGAATATTCCTTGTTTTCTAGGGAATGTTCTTTGAACATTCCAGGAATATTCGTGCGCCATCTGGGTCTGCGACGTCGCAAACCGAGATACGTGGTTTGGTAGTTTCACCGTCGTATGCGTCCGTTGGTAACTCTCTTAAATATTTACCAGCGACCAATCTAGCGTGCTGCTTAATTCCGATCAACGAAAGTTTGAGGACCAAATGCTGATACTACTAGGCCCGGATTTACTTACATTTGGACTGCGTTTAGCAGAAAGGAACCAAGCCACATTGGCTATGGCCAAATTTAACTGGGCAATTTAATTTTTCACAAGAAAACGTTTGTGCAAATTTCAGTGGATTTTCTGCATAAAGCGAAGCAAATTATTTAAAATTTTCAGAGGGATCCGCATTAACGTACTCTTGTAAAGAAATAAATTGCCCAATTAAATTTGGCAACAGCTGATGTGGCTTGGTCCTTTCTAGCTTCTTCTGGACCAAGGAAAGAATTGGTAAACAAATAGAAAATTGAGAATCACCGTGATGACACATTTTATTCATTTTTACAAAAATAAATATGTAAATAAATAGAAAACAAAACATACAAAACAGTTTTGATGATGAAAATACATATAAAAAATTAGACTACAGAAACTAGAATATCATTGATTTTCGATATAAATAAGTTGATTTCCATGATGGTAATGCAAGATTTTTCAGGCTTAGACGTGTACATTTTTCAATTCAGCTGAATCTAGCTCATTTATTTCTCTCTTTTGCTCTTTCTAAATGGATCTATAGTTGAGCAGAAGAAAAGAGTAGTATAAAAGAAGAAAATAGTTGCTAAATAATTACTTTACCTAGATTTTAAGCTAAAAGTCTGTATAACTTTTCATTTTTTTTAAGCGGGAAATAGGGAGAAAATTAGCGCCTACATAGTACAAGGGACAAAAAAGAAAAACTAACTACTCTCTGAGAGATATGAAGAGTTTAGGATCAATTTAAAAAAACTGTAATCTCTTCTAATTGATACACAAAAATTAGTGATAGTTAAGGTAAAGAAAGAACATTTATATCTTTCTTCTTTCCAGAACAATGCTGACTGCAGCGTTGATCAATTTTTGCTTTGACATTATTTTTACTTGTTTGTTCCCTATCTTCGCATGGAGAGTTTGTCTTGATGTAGAGGAGGACTCTCAGTGTAGAATGGGATATCCCTCCATCACGACCTTAACTTGGAGAGCATTTTTTGAGTTTTGCAGTTGATTTCAGAGAAAACCAGGGGCACCGCAACTTGTTTCTTGCAAAAATTTATGTAAGAACAAGTACTTAAATCGCAAATCCCTCACGCATGCAAGAGCTCCATTTCTGCCAATTGAAAAGGAATTTTAAGACAGAAAATTTGCTATTTTAAAAAAAGCCATTGAAGTGAAAAATTAAACTAATCAGTTTTTACAGCCACACACGTTGTTCTTTCTTACAGCCATCCAGTCAGTACTTCGCCGGTGACTGTTGATTTACCACCAGGTTTTGTGTGGATCATCGTTTTCTTCGGCGAGGGAGGTTTATCCTTATCATCTGGTTTTTTCGGAGCAGGGCCCGGCTTTTTATCATCTTTCTTTTCCTCTTTCTTCTCATCTTTCTTCTCGTCCTTCTTTTCTTCTTTCTTTTCATCCTTCTTTTCGTCAGCTTTAGGCATAGCAGCAGCAGCGGCAGGCTTCTTTTCCTCTGGTTTAGCAGGTGTGGGCTTCTTTTCTTCAGGTTTTGCCGGGGCTGCCTCTGTTTTTGCAGGTGATTTAGCTGCGGTGACCTCTACTTTTGGAGCCGGAGCCCCCGGGGCGGCGGGTTTTTTGTCCGATGGCCCAGCTTTTTGATCGACCGATACTTGCTTGAGAGAGGAAATCGATGTCTTGAGCATTTTGATTGGTTCTGGCGTTGGAGTGCGTCCGGCCTCTCTTGGATCTTCTTGGATCGGAGTTCGCGACCGGAAGTCTTTCTTGCCATCGTCGGGACCTGGAATGGCTCCAGGTGCGGGTGGTTTCTTGGTGCTTTTGGGTCTCGGCCGTGCGATGGAGCCACTTTGGGATGGTTTTGTTTCGTCCTTCGTTGTTACTGTAGCAGGCTCGAAAACATCGTCTTTGCCTTCTTCTTCATTTCCTTTATCGTCATATTCTTGCTTGATCTTGGAAATCTTGAATTTGGCATAGGCGATTCGAGCAGCAGGTGCATATTCTTGCAACTTGGGATTGTACTCAACCAGCTTCTCGGGATCCATATTTGCCATTGCTGATCCTTTAATAAGAAAATCATTTAATCAAATGAGAGAGAAGAATGAAAGCATGGTATAGGGTTGCCATAGAATTTAGAAAATGAATTGCCCTGAAAATTACCTGATTTTCTTGACACATTTTGTTAAAATACCCTGACAACTGAAGTTATGCAAGATTGTTAAAAATATATAATTTGAAATAGTTTTCAGGAAAATTTGTTGTACAAAACGCCAAACTCATTTCAAAAAGCAATTAAAGGTGACACAGCAATTTTTTCCTGACATTATCATCATTTTTCTTGACATGTCCAGGTTTCCTTTGACTTTTTCCCGTTATGAAAACTCCCTGACATTTATTAAATTTATTACATTATACACAATATAAATTTCTGGCGAATTTTTCTCTTCTTTTTTCTATTTTAAAAAAATAACGAAGCTTACCTTGATGTTCGAGGATGTGCCGGCGCAAACTCTGGCGTGATTGCCGACGCTCCACAGCCTCGCTGGTGCTTCCAATAAGTTCGCGGCTGGATGCTTTCTTGGCGGCAATAGCGTTCCAGTCCTTTTTCTTAGCACTAGAGTCCTTACCAATTGCGCGAGCAATTTTGCTGAAGACATCTTTCGGCTCTTTCTCAGAAGATATAACATCACTAATTATACCCTCAACCAGGCCGATCTGGAAGTCCTTCAGCAAACGACGCTCCATCACACGACCTTTCTTGCCCACTGTAACAAATTAAGATAGGCTTTCATATGCTGTTTGAATCTTAAGTAATTTTACCTTGATACATAGCATATCATACTCAAATAAAAAAGGCTGAATGTTTTCTTTGTTTGAGTTTTAACTCAAGGCAGTGAAGAAAAATCCTTGAACTGCTGAAGACAGGGTGCCCTCAGTGGGGCATCAACCCATGAGTTGGACTAAATTTTGCAATACTGCCTTGCTAAGGAAGAATGCCGTAAGAGCGTTCAGACGCTGCTGATTTTCTTCTGTTAAAATACGAATTTTTGAGACAATCTGTAACTATTTTTTCTCCAATTTTTTATAGAAATCCAATTGCAATCCAATCTCATTTATCTGAAAATTTCAAGAGAAAAGATTCATGTCTCTCCTTGAAAATGATCACTCCATTGGAGGAAATTTGACCACTACCGAATTCTCATACGGCGGTAATCCTTAGCATGGCAGAATACGGAACTAATGTTCTTGGCTTTTTCGAGGAACATCTCATGTACCACTAGTTTCCCTGTGCTGATAGATGCTAATACGGATGAGCCAGAAATATTAGCTCCCTATTGCAAAATGTAGTCCGGAATTGGAAAAATTTTTGGAATTTAATATGACGAATTTTGTTTTATATAATTGTTTAGACTTGATTTCTAGTTATACTTACAGCCTTTGCTTTTTTCAATTTATGCAAACATGCGACCAACAAAGCGAACTTTCTTTGATTGTGTACCGCAAAGTCAATGCACAGAGTGACAATAGAGTGAGGCATGAAGACTTATGAATATTTTAAGAACGGTTAAAAATATTGAGAGAGAATTTGGATAAGCCTAACTGAGCGCAATTTTGCAAGACAGTGTTATTTGATTGTAACCTCACAAATGTTGTTTGTCTTTTTTTATGCTTTTTTTCAATAAATTAGCATACAAAACTGAGATTTCCATTTGAAATACTCAAGATGTATTCTTGCCCTCTTCCTCTGGGAATATATTGCGTCTTCGTTATTACATTTATATTCAAAGTTTTTACTGATAAAGTATGCGCACTTACGAACTCCATTAATCAGGGTTATAACGATTTGTTTTGATACATGGGCTTCCTTGGCTGTACTAATCAAATCTTTCGCATCCTAATTACTTAACCTACTTTCATTCATTTCTTCAATTTCAATAAATTCATTTTAACATTTAAGTGATGTTATTTAAGTATCCTGAATTAATTTCAGCAAACATTTGGAGTCAAAGATAATATGAGAACCTCATACTCTTACCTGCTTGATCCTCTTTGTCCACGCTCGGTGTCTTCATTCCGTTCGTTCGGAGGATATCGATCAGTTCAAAACGAAGGGTTGAAATATCTTGTCGAATTTCCATAACATCATCTTCTGTGATGCCGAACTCATCTCTCTTCCTTTGCTCAGCCACAACATATCGCCTGACCAATAGTTTCATGACTGCTTCGTGACGCTCCATAGCTTTAGCTCGACTTTTGTTCTGAAAGATTAGGGTAAATATTATTCCACTGCTCGTAGTAGATACAAAGCTAATCGTTAAGAGAAAAAACCACAGTTAATATCTTCATTAATTGAAATATTTTAACTTTATTTGCAACACATTGTTAAATCTTCACTTTTTTTTTTTTTTTTTTTTTTTTTTTTTTTTTTTTTTAATAATGATTTTATTTATCAGATAACAACTTTGAAACAAGACCGACAGCAGTCTTGCTCGGAATTGGGTAAATCTTCACTTGTCAAACACAAAATTCCGCCTTTCCTTGGGATATCAGAAATCCTGCAGATAAGTAACAAAATTCTAAAAACGGTAGGAAGTCATTAAATTCCCTCCTCTTCAGTGGTTCCTTCTCCTCTTTAGCAACATTCGAACTATGAACTTCCACCTTTTCAAAGTATTAACGTAAACGAAAAAGAAAGTATACTTCACTGGCTTTTGCCATGTTTTCATGGTTCAACTCATTCAAATTTAAATACAGAATTACCGCAATGTTCCGATAAAAAAGTCAAAACTTTTTTTGATTGCCCCACATGACGGTAATAAACATATTTTTAATTTCCCCTTTTGTATTCTCGAGGTTTTGACCCACCTTCATCGAACCAGTGCTGATTTTCCCAGTTTTGATTCCCATCATTCTTTTCATAGATTTAACGGATGGTGATAGGTTGAATGGTGGGGGAACAGTGTCGCCATCCTCAAAGTAGCTGATCCATAGGTCACTTCGAGCAAATTTCCATTCAGTATCGGATCGTTCCTGAAAAATAGTTAAAAATAAAAACTCATGAATGTTTAATTTATTCTTTGAAGGAGGAAACATGAGCTGATAAGGAATACAACAGCGTTATCTGGATTCCATGACTCACGTGACGCCACTTTCAGGGCTCTACTTTGATTGTGTAATATGGGCATGACAAGTACGTAATAATTAATAAATATAAATAAACAAGATCAACATATTGGTTGACAAGCTTTTTAACATGCAATCTGCCATGAAGTTTTGGGTGCTAATGTACAAAATTTGTACCAAATTACTCCAGGTTGGTTCAATCATTATTGCTTTGATGAAAGCTAAACTGCTAAGATGTGATATTCTAAGGAGGTTTATCATCAATTACCAAAAATTAATAATACTTGTTTGTGACATGCAAGCCTGCTTCTTTTTTTGCTATACAATGCAAGACGGAATATCTGGGGAATCTTACACGAATGACTCACCGAAGAGAAAAAGTTCCTTCAATACTTACCTCGACTTTATGATGATTGATAGGTAGCATAATGGCAATTCTATTGACAAACACGACAAAGTTTAAAATACTTGTGCCATATTACACAATATATGCGTTATATATCAATCATCATTCAACAAAGATGAGAGCCGCTCAATATTCCCTATCATTTTACCTTGCGACTGGGTTTGTGAGAAAGGGCCTCAGTCTCCGAGAGAAAATTTTCCTGAACTCTTTGCAAAAGCTGGAGCCATGTTTTTCTACAACCTAAAGATTTTTGTCTTGGAACTTCAGGACGCATATCTTCTTCCAATTTTTTGGCTTACAGCGTAAATATTGCTCTAAAATTTCCATATTTTCTTCCTTTGAGATTTTGAAAAAGTTAAGAGAAGCTTTCTCTTGAAGATAAGATCCCTTTTCACAGGTGCGATAAACTATTTACATTACATGAACAAAAATATGAAATTTTACTATTGGACTTTTAATTCCTAATGGGAGCTAAATAATATTCTCAGGAGTCTTTTATACACTACAATACGGAACAATGAAATGATTAAAATGAGAAAAACTAAAATAGAATTTTACTTACCAATCATACTGTTGAAAGCGTCCTAAAGCCTACATCAAAGGTTGAAATAAACTCTATTTGCCGCTTAAAAATTCAAAATCACTACACAACACTAAAGGAAGAGCACATCATTCAAAATTTACACGTCAAGGATCAGCAAGGGAAAGATACCAGTGGCTACAGAAAAAAATACGGACACACAGAGGGAAGCCATATAAGGTGCTTGCTTGGCATAACAGGATTGAAACGGGAGCAGAGTTGTAAGCCTTCCTCATTTGATGAGGTGGCATTGATATCAAAATTCAATATGTTTGATTATAAGTTTACATGGGATTAAGATGTCAAATCAATGAGGTTTTCCTCACTGAAAAGTATTTGACAGCAATGTTTTTTGATGAGAGGTCTACCTCTCTTTCGATCCTCTCTCCTGAATTTATGATTATTTTTTTTTTATTTTATGTATGAATTTTAAAGCGGACTCGTGAGAATTTAGATTTTTACTTTCCCTCTATAGATCTTAAAAATTAAATTCCCTTACATAATAACATGTCACCGCAGACAGGCTACGCAGTTGCGAAAAGGGTATTTAGACAAGATTCTGATATTCTTTTGTGACAGAGTGCGTACGTGTCTTGCCATCCAACAATTTTAAAAAAGCCTGTGTGAAATTTTGTTGCAATGCCCACTTGTTTTTTTCAACAGGAATCAAAAAATAATGGTGCACATACATGCTGGAGTACTATAAGTGCATCTACTTTTGATGTATGGATTTCTTTCTCGTCTGATTATATAAATAAACAAACTTTCAATGTTTAAAATAGAGCTGAAATAGTGTTCAGCTAAATGTTTGGCATCACAATTCTCACTAAAGTCCAATTGTAATATTGTATTATTGATCTCATTTAAAATGCTAATCAAAAAAGTAGAAAATAATGAAATTCGACTTGATGAGTGAAAAAAATCAAACTAATGAGAGCGATCAGAACAGCAAAGGATACGAATAAAGAGATGCATAGCGTGAGCAAGTAGACTGAAACTAAAAAATGTGACTAACACTGAGTGTTTTCAGTGGCATGCCACTAAATTACCTTGGAATATACAAAAGAGCCTTACAAAGCGGTAGAGGAGAGGAAAAAATCAGCGAAACAAATGTTGTGCTGCATATGGTACCTAGATATGCTCTCTTAAGTAACAACACTACCGATTAAAATAAAAAAAGTGATCAAATGGATTTTGGATCCAACTTCTATCCAACGTTTTCTCAAGACTTCAAACACATGAAGCAGTAAACCTTAAAAATTGAATAAAATTTCTAAGAATGAAAAAATGAAGATGCAGAATGCAAGAAGGAAAAAGTTTACTTACAGAGATGATTTGGTAACTGTTGGACATCATGGCAATCAACATGTTGAGCAGGACAATGATATTGATAACAGAGTATGATCCGAAAAGCAGAAGAGCCCAAAACCGGGTGAAACTCTTAATACCAGTCAGATCAAACGATACAAGATCAACTAAACCGAAACTGGCCCAGAACAGAGACTGAGATGTTTCAAATAAACTGTAAGAAAAATCATAAAAATAAACATTATTGTTAGCTCTCTGACCCCCTAAATATTAATTTTTCGTCACAGATCAATCTACTGTTCTACTGGGCTGATTTTCATGATTTTTGCGGCAATCGACAGATCTTCAGATTAGCCCGCTTTATTTAAAGGGGATAGCCATCCTAAAATCGAAAATGAGATAGTATTATGAATTGAAGCGAGAAGTTATAAGAAGCAAAATGGCCTGTCCCAAATGAAAAATCCGCAAAATCAGCAGAGACATGAAAGATTGTAAGTCTGACTGGTGACGTCATGCACTCCTGGTGCGACTGCTGTTCACATGCACACAACTTGAAGTCTGGTGCGTTTGCTGTCTGGCGCTGTGGGGTTTTCTTAATAGTCACACCTAAGCAAAGAAAAAAGAGTTGGCCAAGAACGAGCAAGATCGGGGCGAACTAATAACTTGTCGCAAACACACATCGGCCACTTGACACCAGAGACAGAATGCAGAGTGCAGACTGCATAATGCAAGGCTCATGACATCACGCACTCAGCTGTTCTTTTGCGATAGCAGCTCAACAAATGCAGATATTTGCAAACGACTTTCGGCATCGTTCATTGCACACTTTTCTTCATTGATTTAGTTAAACTTGATTTTAAAGTTGCTGTCCCCTTCAAATTTTGGAAATATGCTTTAGGATACCTTTAATTTAAAAGACAAATAAAGTTCTCATTTAACCAATATAATTGCTTATTTCTTGTTACATTTAGTTCAAAAAATCTACCCGGCCTGTTTTCATTATTTTGGAAACTATCAGTAAGGGAGAGTACGTAGATATGCCTGCTCTATTTTTTAGAATAACCCACCAAGAGCGCGAGTTAAGATTTTAATCAAATGGACAAAATATAATTTTTCAAAATCAAGTTATTATGATGTCATCTTTTCAATGTAGTTGAACTTTTCTGTTTTATTTCAAATCCACACCCTCTCTATTCCTCGTCTATTGCCAACTATTCGAGATAAACAGGAACAAAATTAAAATTCTAGGAGTTGAACTGTTGATTTTGTAAAACTCACTTTGCAAAACGTCTCCATGTTGTACAGGCTTTATCTTGACCATCAAAATCAGCATAATCCTCGTTGAGATGATAACACTTTTTCCTCTCAAGATCAGCATAGTACCAAAGTAACTGATTCATACCTGAAATATTTTTGTTAAATGATTAAAATTTGATGGAGAATTCAGTCATAAGAGAAACACTGGGTGCAAGAAGAGCACTTTTTGGTTGCACGGTTTCAGAATCTTCACCTAGGGTGGACTGACACTGAGAGAGTGACCAGAATTATCATCTTATCAGCACTTAAATCAGCCTACATCAGTTGTGTGAAGGGCACAAACCAAACCAAAATTACCGATAATATAGAACGGCCCTCCTGTATATTTCCCATTATATCCACTTGCCTGTATGTCCCTGATCTTTACACGAGTAATTCATTAGCCATAAGGTCTCATCCACACGAGCACGGTTTGCAAGACTTGTTCCCAGAACTTGCTATGACTCAGCTAGAATTTATTCCCCGAAACCCCAGTTTCTTGAACCAATTCGTCCAAAGGGTTCGCAAACCGTCCTACTGCGGACAGGATCTAAGGAAAAAGAATTTATACATTTCATTGAAATTTTACTGAACATCCTTCATGATTCTATTATGTTCTACACATCGAAAATATTCGGAGGAACCACTCATTAGATTCTTCTCTAAGATACAGACTAGCGATGGAGTAACTGATCATGGCAATGAAAAAGTGCTCTTACTGTATGTACCTAGTGCCTCCCTTGAGCATTTGCAAAAAAATATTGTAAACTTTTTGTAAAATATTCCCTAGTTGTCCAGGAGAAGGAGACTTCCGGTAAACAAAATAATTTTTCTTACTAAGACATTCTATTTAAGTTCTAATATATTTGTCTAATAGATACTTAATTGAACATTCTGTCAAATGTAAGTCTTCTGATTCTAGGGTGTATTCATCTGTAAAGTCAAACACAGTCATTCAAATAAAAAATAAAAAAATTAAGAAAATGAATGACCAAGGAGCAAAGATCCTTTGGAGGACACACCTAAAATACCTTTTTCTAGATTTGAAACTGACATGGCTTTTAAAATGGAATTTAAAACCTACTTCCAATAAATGTAGAAAAACTGATTATAAACCCTTCTTCCTTGTTTTTCTCCTAGGTACGCATCTTTTTCCTCCTTAAAATAAATGTTTGCACCTTCAAACAATATCTTAACATTTGTCACATAAAATTGATATTTATAGGAATGATATTAAATGGTGGTGTTGCAAACAGTGCTTAAAAACTTACCACAACCATAAGCGAAAAGGACCAATGTGTAGATGAAGAAAAATTTGATGATGTCGACAATCATTCGTCCCAACGAAATTTGCAATGGACCAAGATGAGGATTGATACTGAAGATATGAACCAATTTTAAGAAACTGCAAAAAATGAGACATTAAATGTAATTTCAGTAAAGCAGCAGTGCTGAGTAAAGCTAATTAGCGAAGAGATGTGAAGTGTGCACAAAAAGGGGCAACAATATTGCCTCTTTTGAGTGACAAATTATTTCATTTGATAGGAAAAATGCAGTGATCTAGTATTACCAAAAACAATTTTTAACACTTCAAAAACATTTTCAAACGTAAAAAAAAGTACCCCGCTCTAAAAAAAAATTTGTGTTACCTGAAATATTGGTTCTACTGGATATCACTAATAACTACCCTGGTAGAAGGCGCTGCGCTCCCGCTCACATTATCATGCATATACAAAGATGCTTATTGGATGACTCTCTGCTTTCACCATTGTATTTTACATAAACAATCCTACCCACACAATAATTCTGATCTTTTTTTGGTAATGCCAGACTTGCGCTGAAGTTTCACGGGTCTTATGTGATTTATCCAAAATTAATGGATATTTAAGACGTTTCAGCCGTTCTAGGAAGATGAAATTACAATTTTAATAAAAAAACCGCATTCTTACCTGAAGATCATACTGGCTGCAAACGCACCTTCTGATAGAAGATGAGGATCAAACATGTCCCACTTATCACGAGGATACCATGGATCGAGGCCACTTTTATGCTCTCTCTGAAAATTAAAGTGACTCATTCAGAATTTAATTAAAATATGTAAACTTTCGATTCCATTCATTTAGAATCAAAAAAGAAAAAGCTTCCATTGACAACAGCACCTTTTGGAGAATATTGGTGTACTCTAAGGCAAATTTTCAAACTTTCTGAGGCCATTAGCATTTTATAGCAGCTAAAATATTTTCCTTGACAAATTTCATTATTCTTGCGATGGCATTACAAGCAATTCAGGTCCTTCAAAAAACTTTAGGCTGGATCAATTAGGATTTTAAGAGCATAAGTTTGGAATGAAAATTTCAACTCCACAATGCAACACTCTTTTAATGAAAGTGTGCTTCATGGGTCGGAAGTGCCTATTTTTTTCTATTCATTTTCTTCGAGTACTGGGTGAATTGAGCTGCGGGTGATTTTTTCAGACTTTATCGAGTTAAAATATCGGAGAAAATCAATTTGAAGTCATCAAAATCTGGACCTAATTAATAAGATACTTATGGCAGTCAGTGATGATGAAAGCAGACGAGGAAGTCCGCATTTGCTGGTGGCTGAAGCCCAGCCCTGTGGCTGGGCTTTGCAATGTCTCATGTCTTTACATGACATGACCTTGCCATGTTGTCACAACTGTCAGCCTCTGGTAATCTGGTTGGTCAGATTTGAATTAACTTTTTCACTCTTTAAAAGTACTTTTTTGGACTTTTCAATGAAACATGATAATAACAACAGTTTTAGTTTTTTTATGAATCTTTTCATTGAAAACAAGTGTCAGACATTCTCTGAGAATGCTGTGCCACTGACTTATTAGTCAGAATATCATGCTGGACATCTGACATGTGCACTCTCCCATTGTTGTAAGCTTGGTGAAATTGTTGTGGAGCGACAGTTTGTTCTGATTGTCCTGCACCGTGGAACATTTTCCAAATGCATGATGGTAGATATTAGATTACCTAATGCACTGTTTTTTTATTTGTTGCTGAGGTTATTTATTCCTTACAAATTTGGAAAAAATCTTGAATTGGCTTACAAGAATTTTAAGAAAATAGAGAAAAGTATATTGTGACAAATAAAAAAAGTCAGCACACCTACTTGCACAATGATATACGCAGTTCCTCTGAGACAAATCCATATCATATAGAATACATTGGTGATGAAATCCACTATATTCCACAAATCTGAAACATAGTCCTCTAAGCCACCAGACCACAATGCTCTCATTTCACCCCAAATCAAACCTGAATAAAAATTGTAGAATGCATTAACAAGGAGTAAATTATAATGTAGGATCACTCCCAAGTTTTCAACCAAAGGGTGCTGGAAGCTGAAGCATTTAAAGTTATTTTGATTCTCATCTTTCCAGCTTCATTTGATAAAACCGCAGAATTTTGAAAATGAAACTCCCCAACATTTCCCTAATACATTTTATTAAAATTCCCTGACAATGCAAGATATGTCAGATGGTTAAAAAGACATAATTTGAAATCGTTTTTAGGCAAAATTTGTTGTTCAAAACGTCAAACCCATTATAAAAATAAAATAAAGGATTATACTTGACAATTTTTCCCTGACACTTTCTCCATTTTCCCTGACATTTCTCGGTTTTCCCAAAATTTCCTGACTGTGGCAAGTCTGTTAAATGGTGCTGAGTTTTACGTTACATGGTTTGGGAGGAACAAACTGTTTTCGCCAATCACCATTTTTTTTTTAAGACGATCAAAATGAGAAAATTTACTTTGTAGATGACCCTTGTATCATATTTTTAGCCTTTTAGACCTTTGCTTTTTAGAACTACATAAACTCTGGGTTTAAAAACAGTTCTGAAGAGCTTCGCCTAAATTTACCTGCATTTGTGACTTTATTTTAATTTTCTGCCAAGTGCTTCAGCAGAAAATTCAAATGAAGTTATGAATGCGAATATAATCGAATTACGTACTTCCTATTATTTTCATGCTGCATGTTTCATAGCTTTTTTTTCATGCGACTTTGTTGTACACTTTTCACTCTGCATTTTAATTCCCCCTCTCATCTTCTTCGCCTAATTTCTTGTACCTACTTGTATAAATCCTCTCCTAAAGTACTGAAAAAGGTATCATGGTATGGCGCTTAAAGCGCATTTTTAAACGTAAGTTGATCTAGCGAACAAATGAAAGCAGACAATCAGCGTCCGGCTTAGAGTGCTGACTTTTGGGCTTTAGGTGCCTGGCATGCCTGATTTCTTTTAAGTAGATTCTAAGCTCTTACTTCCGTCGCTGACTTCTGCAACATATGTACTACCCACTCTAAGTGCCTTACCGTTAACCCTGAAATCCTCACACAAAACCGTAAAACCATTACTTTGCAATCAAACTTACTTATGATATACAAAATAATAAAGGATTCTATGAGACCAGGTATTGATCCTCTTTCCTTTCGAATCCACTCTTTCAGTATCTCTTTCATCCAGTCGGGTCCAAACCATTCGATTGCAAGAAATTCCGCTCTTTGTGATGCCAAGGCCAATAACACTGCAACAAAATCATGAGAGATGAAGTAGGGAATCAAGACTGAAAGGAGGAAATAGCTCCTTCAGGAGTTATTCTTTTCCAAAATTGAACTATTGAATGGACTAGTAAGTAGTAAAAATAAAATTAAAAGTAATGAATTATGCTGCAAAATTTTACTATTTATTTCATCCCTGAGGCCTTACGGACTTGCGCCATCATCAGAGGGAACACATCAGAGTTAAGTATGTACACACAAAGTTAATTACTACAATTATCTACAGCAATCAAAGCAAACCAACTACAAAGGTACAAACACAAAAAAGCAAAAAGCCAAGCGAAATACATGATTACATCTTCAAGTTTATAGCTAATTATTTTGTATTTTATTATTTGTATGAACTTGAAGATGTATTCATGTAGTTTGCTTGGATTTTTGCTTTTAAGTGTTTGTACCTTTGTAGTTGGTGTGCTTGGATTGCTGTGGATACTTGTAGTAATTAACTTTGTGTACACATACGTAACTCCGATGTGTTCCCTCTGATGATGGCACAAGTCCGGAAGGCCTCAGGGATGAAATGAATAATAATAAATTCACAGCATTATGATCAGAAATTCAATTATTTTCATTACTTTTAATTTTAATTTTAATTTTATTTTTATTTTCATATTTGCTGCTTCTTCAAGCATGTTTAAATAGTAAGTAGTAGGTGAAGGCCGCATCTACATCAAAAGAAAAATGCTTTGCAACTATCTCTTGTGGAGTTGATGAAGACAATTTTTTCACGATCTCCGTTGTGAAAAGTTTCTATCTTCTCTATGAGAAAGAAAACAAGTAGGGGGAAAATATATGGCTGAAAGGTGTGCCTGACCCTAAAAGCTAGTTTTCTGCAACGTTCAAATTTTTCCAAGTTTCCTGTTTTCAAAATGAATGATCCATAAATTTTTAGAACAGTCATGTGCATCTTAGCCATTAGAGTTGTTGAAAATAGTAAAATAAATTCTAAAAGTGTAACAAATGAAAAAAGTATGAATACAAAAATATATTTGGGTTCATCTTAGGATGACAACGTCAATGCTCAGGCGATGGCAATTGCCCGAAAATGAAAAATGCCCTTACTCAGGAAGAAAGCGTAGGAGGTTGAATTACAGATGAACTTTACAAAGGGTTTTTTCATGAACTGGCCCATCTCCGATTCAGGCGCTGTCAAATACACGGTTGCGTAGACAGGAAACATTGCACCTAACTTTCCACACTCAAAAGCTTGACCAATCATCCCTTTTCGTCGAAATCCGGGGAGACCATCATACCAAATAGCTGCCAGCAGCTGTTGTACATTTGGATGAGCAACAAACTAAAAGCAAACAGTTTTAATTAGGTACACAAATTAATACACAAAGTAAATGAAGTACACGAAAAATGTGAAGGACAACAGCCCGCGAACTGGCTGAGAAAGCCGGAGTAACACACATAAAGCAAGGTCCCAGGCTCCAGAGGTTGTTCAGTAAGAAAATACAGATACTAAATGCCAGGAACTTATTGGTATCATGTAAGAATGTGTCAGTGAGCAAGTTCTTAATCATTCATTATATAATTGGTTATTCATCAATTTCCATTGTTAATATTTCCTTTCTCCGATCAAGTGTGTCCAAGACACACAAGTTTAGCACATTTAGTTCTTCTCACTTGCAGCAAATTTGGTTACACATGGAAGAGCCGATTTGCGTCGGAGACATAAGATGGGTGGGTTGATTGAATCGGTTTCTGTTAGTCGGGCGTAAGTCCAAAAACTCATGAGCTAATGTCCTGCGTGATCAACGAAAACCTGTGCTCATGGATTTTTGGACTTTCACTCGTCTGATAGAAACCAATTTAATTGATGTTACTTAACTTTTTTGCAACCCATACCTACCAGTTTAGAAATGCCACATTCCCTTGTCTAAATCTCAGCTCATCACTCTACTATTTTAATTCTGCTAACTAATATTTCCATTGTTTCAAGCAAACATAAGTTTTCAAAACCAATCTAAGACCTGAAATAGAAAAATTCTTTTTTTCCAGCTCTCGACCTCAAATTCCAAGCAATAGGTTCAAGATACTTTCATCTTAATGAATATACGAGAGAAACAAGACATCTACAGGAGGGCATTTCTATTTGCTGTAGTTGATGAAGATTCAACTTCCATTAAAAAGCAAAATCGACTAATTTGAGGCTAAAATCCTAGACTCCTATTTCATGGGCTATTTTCACTCCTAGACTGCAACAGAGGATCTGCCATCTAGATTATACCATTTACGTTACATGTAAAAGTGACGTCAGACGATCTTCTGTCTTAGTCTAGAAGTGCGTAAACTCATTTGGCTTGAACTCTTAGTGAGATAATTTTTTGCAAGAAGAAATGAAAACGGAGGAGCTTGGAGGACGAGGTGCATAAGTGCAGCTTTAGAAAAAATTGGGATATTAATGGTTCAACGTAAAACTCTTGATGCATGTTGTGTGAAAAAATCGCTCCCAAATTCCAATTTTTAAGCATCAAAAAGTCAGCTTCAACTTTTTTTCTGCCGTAAGGATCCACATAATTTCGAAACCTCGAACAAGTATTTCTCAGAATGGCAAAAAGTGCACTAATGCGCCTTGTTCTCCAAGCCCCTCTATTAGTCTTGGGCCAACAATAAAGAGCGGTTATAATGTAACCAACGAGTAAGCTGATAACTGCATAAAACGTAAACCATATAAGCACTTCTGAACATAATGTGACCACAAAATTCATTAAAATTAAGCATCAGGAAAAAACGTGACAGCGAACTCGAAAAACGCAAAAAAAAATCACATTCCATGCTCCTTCATAGCGTGAAAAGGATTAATTTTCTGTAGCCTGATTGTTGAAATTTTGTGTTTGTCGGGTAGATATAGATGATATAGGTTAAAAGGCAGTGTTATTAGTCCGCTGCGTCTTATTGCTGCTTTGTCATGCCTATGTCGGGTAGAACTTTCGACACGCTGAAGGCACCTCTTAAGTTCCTGACAGTACGTCATCCATTCCACCTGACAACGGCTAGATAAAGCAGCGATAAGACATAGCAGACCAATTACGCTCCGCCTATTAATCTATGTCATCTATGTCCACCCGACAAACACGAAATTTCAATTATCAGGCTGCAGGGTTGATCCAGGGACAAGTTCTGGTTCGAATCGTCCCTGGTTGATCTTCCTAGCTTTCCGTATCGGATTCCAACCTCAAAAGTTAATTCCTACTTAATATGAATACAATAGCTTTATTTGTAATAAATAATACTTAAGCTGGCTAAGGCATTAATATGAGGGAGAAAATTAAACTACAGTTTTGATCAATGAGCAACACCCTCAGCTAGTCTGAACTTCTCATTTGAAAAAGTAAATATTGATCATATCAACAAATTCTGTTCTTTAGATGTTTGCTAAAATTCAAATAAAGACATACTTAACAATCTTAACAGCCTTGATTTCACACATTATTTTAATTCAATACCAAAAACTGCGTTGAATACATAAAATATACACCGTCCGCTCCGCCGCTCCGCTTCGTTTGTTTACATAATCACAAAATCAACCATGTGCGAAAGCAATACCATCTACCCATACCTGGCCATGGGTTTGAGGTTAAATGTTCGTAACTCCCGAAAACACATGGGATCGTATAGCGGAGGACTTATAAAAGTTGATTTTTTACTTGAGAAAGTGAATGTATTCCGGGCGTGGAATTTTCAGTTAAATATTTCGGCTAGTTTTATCGAAAGAAACAAATTTGTTCGGCAGAATCACATTTTAAATTATGGGAAAAAGTATTAAATGTATGTCACTGTACTAAATGTATGGGAGATAACCGGGAAACGTATGCAACCCGCCCAAAGACATAAAGACGGAGCGCTCGTATCTAAAAGCACGGGGAAAAAGTGAAGCTAGGTTCGGCGCTGCGCGCTTGTGTGAGTGTGTAAATGAGCGCGGGAATCCATGGCGGCAAACGGAAATTTGATTTGAACTTGTCCTCTTGATTTTTCCTTATTTCTTCTTCGAAACGTGTTTTAAATGCTTAAAACGATTATATTAAGAAAGTTTGGTCTGCGTCCTAATATATTACACCTACTTTTGCTCGGTAACAGGCAGTAATCTCAGATAAAGTTAGTTTTTCTTCTGCTTATGGTGGTTCTGCAGGTTCAAACAGGCCGTTACAGTTCTAGATCTACGTTACTCCCAAATGAAATCAGTCGGTCGACGACGGACCGAAACTAACCTAAAGTTAATAAAATATGAGTGTGTACCTGAATTTGGGCAAAAATCAACCTAAAATACTTTGTTTCCGCAATTTTATTTATTAGTTCCCGCCCTACATTTGAATTCAAACTTGTCCCGATTTCGCCGCCAATCCTCTAGCCAATAGTAGAGGTGATTGAAAAGAAGCTCTAGAAGCTTCATTTTTTGCTTTTAGTGTTCCGTCTTTATGTCTTTGAACCCGCCAAACGTAGCCCGGCGGCTTCCCTTTGTTCTTGGGAGATATTACTCACACACTCTCACACGTATTCTCCAATGGCCAGGAATGCTAAGTAGGAATTGGCGAAAGCAGTGCGATAGCGTGTTCGTGCTGCGCATGCGCTATGAACGCTATACGATTCATGAATGAATCATTCAAAACAAAACGGGCCAATGAGAGACCCGGAATTTTTCATCGCACGCATCGTAGTACTATGCGTAGTATTTTGTCGTAAGCGTTGCCAGATCAAATGAGGAAATGACGGTAAAAGCTTCCTAGACCGTGAAACATGAGAAACTGTCCGAGATTTCAACAGGAATTTCGCAGCTTTTTCATCTAGCAAAAATACGACAAAAATCATCCTTTTTCCGGTCATTCCATTGGCAGGTTCTAAATAGGATTTTGCTTCTGTAGCAAATTACATTCGAGAGTTGCCAAATCGCCCTGGATAACACATGTATTTTTGGAAAGGATTACGCGTATTTTTCCTTGAAATTTTCAGATATTTTAGACAAAATTGCGAACAAATTGTCTGAAAAAAATTGGAGAAAAACATTCGCAATTTTCCCAGTAAATTAGGTCTTTATTGAAGGAAATGTGACAACGTCTGAAAGTTCATAAGGCGTTCTTTCTTAACACGGTAGGACGAATCAGAACGTTCGGCGCGCAGGGGCGGGGTGTGAGCGGAGTGCGAACGGCCGCACAAAGCAACACGAAACCGGATTGCAGCGTCCACACGTGGACTAATCCATTCTTATTTTCTTAAAAAATCAATATAATATGTAAAAAATGTAAAATATAGGCTCGAATCTGTGCGAGGTCCGATTACGCCTCTTCTATCTTTTGCCGTGATGCCTTTGCAGCAACACCTTAGCAAACGGATCCAACTAAAGATGCTGAAGCGAGAGAAAGGATACGCGTTGGTGACGGCGCAGGGATACAACTATTCGTGCATGACGGATGTCTGTGTTGCATCTGCGAAATTGAAGGCGCGATGCCGCGAAGTTTGAATCCGCAATGCTCCGCTGTATGTTGCCAATGAGGTGTCGCTCGGATTCAACAGAATAGTTGAAAAGCGAGTCTCGTGAATACGTCTCTCCTATCTTCAGCTTTGACCTTTTTATTTCCTCTTTAATTTGAGGTCTAATTCTTTCTTTAGGATATAGTTGTAGACCTACATCTAAAGCATCTAAAGCGACTGCGAGTATTCCAGATTTTTACTGTTCGATTCATTCGATCTGGATTCTTCAGAATTGGATGTGCTTTAACTTTTTAAGTTAGTCACATCAACAAGCGCGTGTATTCCACGTGACACTTTTCGTATGTTAGTATGATCGTCCAGTTTTTTCTTTTTTTTCAATTTTTTTTAAAAGGTTTTTTTTTGTAATTTGCTGTAAAATATGTAAAACTAATCGGCACTATATAAGGTTTCTCAATATGCAGAAAAGTTGGTGAAATTTTCAGTTAGAAATTCCCTAAATTCTCCTGGTAAACATGCAACGGGCGAGAAAAATTTGGAAACATTGCGACATGTAGTCACGTTCTTTCGTGAAAGAGACTACGATTATGACTGAAGATCCTCACTTGAAATTTTCCGTGATTTTCGAACACCCTTCTCGTTTGCAAAATATAGTCTTTCCACTATTCTTTCAAATATAATTGAAAATTTCACAAAACGCGTTTTTAAACATGTTTTACTCTTGAAGATCGGCGAATATTTTCCCTCTAGAATTCCGAATATTTTTCCTGAGACCAGAACTTGACATGGATAATCGAGCAATTCTTACCGCTTTTTGTTTGTATTTGATAGCTAGCTTCAGTCTCTCCAGAGTTTGCCTCTCTCCTGGTTCCCACGACTCTCCATCAGGATTATGATTAAGCATCACCTCCAGTTCATACGAGGTTCGCGCGTGGTCTAGCAAGGAGGTTGCAAATGTCTGACAAATACCTCTCATTTCCTGTGTACAAAAGAAAAACAAATATCGTCACGAGTTTCTGCACCTCTGCAAAATAAGACGTAGCAACTCCATTAAAAGTGTTACTTAGATTACATTTTGCAATAAGGAACCACTATTTTTGACTCATTTTAGAATCAACATATGGATTGCATTTTGCAAAACGAAACCAAGAGCATTTCAATGTCGCTAAGATTGTCCAACCATTTTTACCTTGCAAATATAAAATGATCATCTTAACAAGTACTAACTTTACTCCCTATAAACTATGCATTCACTACAAAAATTACCTTGGTGAATTTAATTTTTTGCATGAGTCAGTAATTTTACTGCAAATAATATGAGTTGCACGATTCTAATAAATCGGAATGCTCTTGGTTCCTTTTTGCAAAATGCAATCCATATATGCCATTGGTTTCCCTATGCAGAAAGGTGCTTTTATGGAAGAGCCAGAGAAAGTGGTTCCTTACTGCAAAATGTAATCCAATTCCACCAGAATCAGCCTAACTGCAGTTCATTTAAGGTGATTCGTCAAGCTCAAGTGACGTGGTCGAACTGGCATGCGATATATCGCATCGATTAGGTCAAAAATCTCCGCAGATTTGGAATTTATAGCCAAAAAAAGGACGATAACCCCTGCGCATGAGCCTACAGAATCATTCTAAACCCAAAAATCGGCAAAATTCAGAAAAATGAAAGCAGAATTGTATTTGGAAAACAACCTCACATCCGATACAGAAATCGATATCTGAGTCGAATGCGAGGTTTTTTTCCAAACACTATTCTATTCTTTCATTTCTCTGAATTTTGCCAATTTTTGGATTTAGAATGATTCTTTAGGCTCATGCGCAGGGGCTATCGTCCTTTTTTTGGGTTAAAAATTCAAAATCTGCGGAGATTTTTGACCTAATCGATGCGATATATCGCATGCCAGTTCGACCACGTCACTTGGGCTTGACGAATCACCTTAAGCCAATTTCCTCACATATCGACAGTGAAACTCCGAAACAACGTATCTCGTTTGCAGTCATTAAACATCTCCGCTCCCATTTTTCTTTTTCTTTCTTTTTTTTTTTGAAGAATATCAACATCATTCGAAGTCATTACTTGAAGTTTCGGCATAATATTCTTCACACGGAGAAGAAATATTACGGAAATTTTGAAGAATTGGCATTGAGAAGTTTTCCATCTAAAAAACCGAATATGACAGGAAGTCTACGACGTCGCAAACCGAGATACGTGGTTTGGAAGTTTCACCGTCGATATTTTATTTTCAACAGGAAAATTAATTTTATGTATTATATGGTCCCAGAAATTTCTGTAAATTGCCCCTGAAGTAAACCAAAAAATAAGTTACCAAATTTCAAGGTTGAATTTTGCTAAGTTCTCTAATGAAAAAGAAAAATTAAAATAAGAGAGAAAATCGAGCAGTAACTGATGTAATCAAGCTAACACTAGTTGATTCCGTCCAAATCTAGGCTTGCATTTGCGACGCACTTGCATTGTTAAAAATAGCACTCGGATGCAAACCAGTGGCGTGGCGTGAATTGCGATGTATCAATTGTTCTGGCATTTAAACCTATGGTAAAGAATCGATTATTAAGGTGTTCGCTGCGAACACCCTGTTTATCGATCCTTTCCCATGGGTTTAAATGACAGAACAATCGATACATCGCAGAGCACGCCACGCCACTGATGCAAACCCTGAAGCATCCACCGCTTTATTGTTCCTTCCCGGCAAAATAGTTCAACGAAACGAGTAACTGAAATTGTTATATCCTCCCACTCTCGTAAAGAGGGAAAGCGGTAATTTTAAATCAGGAACGGCAGTTGCTGAGAAATAATTAACGACCACTTTTCAACCAATTGGATCGAGTCGATCTGCGCAGGAGGAGACCGGCCCACGCTGAATTCATTCCGAAAGTAATTATAGTTTCACGCCTCCGTAAAACTCAACACTGTACTCCGATTGATAAATTCGGAAATATCTCTGTTGAGACACTTTATTTTTTCGAAAAAAGATAAGGAAACCTTTCCGCTTGAAATTTTTAAAGAACTTTTTTAGATTTAGAAGAAAAAGTACGGACTTTTTTAAGGAACAACGTTCATGAGTTTCCCGATTAAGAAAAATGAATAACAGGAAACAGGAAACACATGGAACAACGTGGAATGGAAAACAGGACGGCGGGCGGGCGGTCAGCACGCATGGCGCCTACAAACCTAAGTGGATACTTCAAGCAGTGTGCAATGCGTGAAGTATCCACTTAGGTTTGTAGGCGCCAGTGAGCCTCTCACGCTGACAGCACGCCGCGCCGCTCCGCTCTGCTAGGCTCTAATATTTATACTCGCATAGTCAGCGTTTTTTAACCAATAATTTTGAACTGTTTGCACACTCTGCATTGATTATTCTCATTTAAATTGATGAAAAAAAATATGTATTAATTTATCGAAGGAGAGTAATAATATAATGTGTTTTTTTTTAAATATTGTCGGTTCCGTGTCAAATTTAAAGATTTCCAAGGCACTTAAATTTTTTTATTTTACATTTTGTGCTTTTACTGTGCTGCAGCGAGGTGTACGCGCAACCAAACGCTCAAAATTTGACGTATTTGACTCTAAAAGATCGATGTACAGATGGGTTAAAAGTAAAGGTTGCGTGCTTCTTGGTTTTTTTCCTCTTTTATTCATTTTTGCAGTTTCTTTCGGCACAACTGCGGCTCATTGAGATTAATATCGATGACATCGCTTGGAAAAGGTTTTACAAATATTTGTCACGTTTTAAAAATGTAAATGTTTACAAAATGAAGTAATAATTTCGTAAAAAAAAAATTAAAAAAATAAAAAAAAGTACTTATACATATGTAAGGTATATTGTATATCGAATATTTTAAGGATAGAAATAGAACCATATATTCATCAATGACAATTTAAAAAGATGAATCAAATAGAGAAAGTAACATTTCATTTAGAAAATGAGCAACCATAACAACACTTCCATCTCTCTCAATTTCATATTGTCAATAAAATTTTACATACCGACTAAAATATAACGCTTGGGCCAAGTCACTATTGCTTACTTTACGTTTGGGCGTAATCTACTGGACAAAAAAGGTGCGCGGACAAAAAATCGTTCACAAAATGTCCTGAAACCATAGCCGAGCTATAGGATTTCATATTGCCCGCATACCTAAGCCATAGGAACAATAAGATATCCTGTAACCGGACCATACAGGCTAAAAAAACTCTGTAATTTTTAACAGAGATGTCACTACATTAAAGGAAAACCAACCAGAATATATCTAATTTTTCGGTGAATGTTTTTAAACGAGCCACAGTGGTGTTGACTGTTGAGGCAAAAAAAATGCTACAAAAATTTACCCAAAAACGGTTTGCAGGGCGTGAGTGCATGTTACGAGTGGACTTAAAATTGCGAAAAATCAAAATCTTGGCTGATCCTTATTTCGAGATATCGATATTTGAAATTTTCATTGTAAATGCTTGTTTTTTACTGATTTTGATCAGATTTTATATTTATTCGTCCATTGAACTGGTGTTGATCCGTTCACGTTTCTTATTTTTGATCGATTCATGTCGATCGAATACATACCCTCTCCTTACATGCAGAGTTCCTATCGAACTCTTTTTTAAAACTGAACAATTCGCCTTCTGCTGCGCCTGCAGCAATTGTTGTTACAAGTATGTTGTGCGTGGTGATTTTAACTCAGTACATACTCAACTCTCTGAAGGCGTTTCATGTGCGCAAGTAGCGCAATCTGTCGATGAACGAACGAAGTAGGGATTGAGCTGTTCTCCAACAGGGTGCTCTACTTTCGCACATTAAACGCCTCCAAAGAGTCAAGTATGTAATGAACTGAGATCAGCACGCACAACATAATCGTAACAACAATTGCTGAGGACGCAGCTGAAGGCAAATTGAAAGCAACCGTATAATACACGTTGAAAAGCATTTTAGCTCTTTTATTATATTGTTACCAATGGAGAGTTGTATTTTATGGTCTTTTCACGGGGGATTCTCGAAAAAATTTTCATCATAAACTAAAAAATGAATTAGTTAAAATGGAAAATAAACTATACCGCCCTAAAATTTTCAGTCATGACAGGATTCAATCCATTTTGAAGTTGACTTTTTAAAAAGAATCGAGAGCTACAAAGTCAGTATACAACATAGAGACAAGTCGTGAAGGGGGGGAGGTGGAGGTGTCTTTTTGTAGTTAGCTTTACACATTAATTAAAAATGTAAAGTAATGCAAAAATGAATTACAGAGATAAGCTTCCAGTTACAACTTACAATGCAATTCACATGATCTTTTCAATCTTAGTTGATCCCCTGAATTTCATAAACACATTGAGGACTTGCAGAGTTAAGTAAAGCAAGTATTACCAATAATTCTTCTAAGTCATCTTAAAGTCCACGTCATGAGAAGACATGTATAGGAAAGTTTCGAATTCTTAGACGGAAATGACGTTTTTGGATATCGGTCGGAGCAAAGTTGTGGAAGTCTCCAAAGTAAATTTTTGAAGCACCGTGAACGGTACACGCACCATATATTTGGCCCCAGCAAACCGTTCTTGGGTAAATTTATGTCACATTTTTCTTTTGCTTCAAAAGCACTGTGTTGTTGGCACTTCTTCAGTCTTGCGGAAAGTTAAGACTAAACTTCCCGCCAAGACTGAAAATTTTAGTGCGGTATAGTTTATTTTCCATTTTAACTAATTCATTTTTTAGTTTATGATGAAAAATTTTTCGAGAATCCCCCGTGAGAAGACCATTAAATACAACTCTCTATTGGTAACAATATAATAAAAGAGCTAAAATGCTTTTCAACGTGTATTATACGGTTGCTTTCAATTCGCCTTCAGCTGCGTCCGCAGCAATTGTTGTTACGCTTATGTTGTGCGAGCTGATCTCAGTTCATTACATACTTGACTCTTTGAAGGCGTTTAATGTGCGAAAGTAGAGCACCCTGTTGGAGAACAGCTCAATCCCTACTTCGTTCGTTCATCGACAGATTGTGCTACTTGCGCACATGAAACGCCTTCAGAGAGTTGAGTATGTAATGAGTTAAAATCACCACGCACAACATACTTGTAACAACAATTGCTGCAGGCGCAGCAGAAGGCGAATTGTTCAGTTTAAAAAAAGAGTTCGATAGGAACTCTGCATGTAAGGAGAGGAGAGGGTATGTATTCGATCGACATGAATCGATCAAAACATAGAAACGTGAACGGATCAACACCAGTTTAATGGACGAATAAATATAAAATCTGATCAAAATCAGTAAAAAACAAGCATTTACAATGAAAATTTCAAATATCGATATCTCGAAATAAGTATCAGCCAAGATTTTGATTTTTCGCAATTTTAAGTCCACTCGTAACATACACTCACGCCCTGCAAAACCGTTTTTGGGTAAATTTTGTATCATTTTTTGCTTCAATACCACTGTCGAGAGAAGGTAAATCAAAGACAACTTCAAGACAAATTTTCGGTCAATTCTCATTCAGAAAAATAAAGCACGAGTGGAAACTCGTAGTATCATATCAACTTCAGCCATAAACGCGATAAACTTCGATCTACTCCCGAGCATGCATGTTAAAAAGCTCTTCTTTTTCGTCGAGAGACGAAAGTTGAGAAAGATAAAAAGAAAAAAAGATAAAAAAGGAGATAAAAGATAATTTTGATGCATTCAATTACATTATATTCAGAGCGGAATTCCGCTTCCATCTTGCTGAGTCTGCGCAGCTCCCATGATAACTCGAAGGCGGTAAGGAGGGGATCCCTGGAAGAGAGGGCTATGAGGGATGGTGCGGTTAAAGCTCTGTACGCGTTGATCCGAGCTTGTGAATGTCGCAAAGAATCCTGCTCACTTGAAGTTACACATTCGTCGCAGCCACACCTGTTGGCAAAAGAGATAAAAACCAAGTGGTAGGACTATTCTGCCATGCTAAGGAAGAACGCCGTATAAGCCTTCAAGCGTTTGCCAAATTTCCTTTGAGAAAGCACGAATTTCCTGGTAAACTTATGAATATTTTCCTCCCAACTGTTCAGATAATTTTTTCGCAATTTCATCTAAAGTTCCTGAAAATTTTAGAGAAAAATATTCTTAATTTTCCTCAAAAATATACATTTTATCGTAGGAAATTTTGCAACTCTCGAATGTTCATATGGCGTTCTTCCTTAGCACGGCGCTATTCTGCCACGCTAAGGAAGAACGCCGTATGAGCATTAAGACGTTGCCTAATTTCTTCTGATAAAATACAAATTTGCAAAGAAACTTGCGGATATTTTTCTCCCATTTGGCCATAAGATTATCTCGGAATTGAATAAACAGTATCTGAAAACTTCAATGAAAAATATAAATACATTTCCTCAAAAATGAATGTTTAATAAGCGGTGATTTGAAAATATTCGGATGTTTATACGGCGTTCTTCCTTAGCACAGAAGTAATCAATGTAATTTGAAATTAAATTCTTAACACGAATGATTATCATTTAATAATCCATAACTTCTTGCGATCAGTGTCAACAAAATCTCAAACATGCGGTCGAACCATTCTATTCATTTAGTACCTAAAACCTGACAGGGTTTATGCTATGGTGTGCCACTCCTTTGTACCTCTACTTTATTGCAAGATATTGGTTTATATACCATTTAAACCTATAGGAAAGGATGAAAAAACAGGATGTTTGCAACGAACACCTTAATAATCGATTCTCCACCATAGCTTCAAATGTTAAAACATCGATTATCGATAATCGATCATTCTCACTTCGCTACTGTTGGTGTTCAAAAATTGGTTGACGCTTTTGTTCGGCATTTTTGACCCCCCCTTCTCCCTCGTAACGCGCATCTTTTACCATGTACAAACAAAATGGCTAAACACTTTTCCCACTCCCCCGACATAATGGAGATGTTGCATGTGTGAGGAATTTGCGATTTAACCGTTGATTCTTCGTAAAAGTTTGCGAGAAACACAATGGTGCCACTGGTTTTCTCTGAAATCAACTCCCAAGCTCAGAAAAAGCTCTCAAAGTTGAGGCCAAAATGGAGGGGATATCCCACGCTATCCTGAGAGTCCACCTCTACATCGAGACAAACTCTCAATGCAAAGATAGGGAGCAAATACATTGACAGGGCTGCCACACCATTTGAGGACTCTAAAACTGAAAACACGGCATCCCTGCTAATGTATTTGCTCCCTATCTTTGCATGGAGAGTTTGTATTGATGTAGAGGTGGACTCTCAGGATAGCGTGGGATATCCCTTCCATTTTGGCCTCAACTTGAGAGCTTTTTCTGAGCCTGGGAGTTGATTTCTGAGAAAACCAGTGTCACCATCGTGTTTTTCGGGAACTTTTACAGAAGAATCAATAGTCAAATCGCAAATTCCTCACACATGCAACATCTCCATTCATGAACGGCCCCATATGACGTTATCAAATCTTTTCTTTCCAGCTATCGCGTGGCAACGTTGGAAGATGAGCCCAGTTCAGTGATTAAATCTCCGCCCTTTAATTCCAGCCTGGTTCCACGTAACAAGTTTCTTCTGAAGCAAAAACAAAAGAACACTTTCCGATGCGCCAACGTAGCAATTTACCACAGTCTGTGCTCCGTTGCATTACACTCTTCACGGTTTAAAATTTTGCCTCCGAAGTGTCTGACAAGTCAAATTAAAATGCCTCTGATGTGGACGACCTCCGTTACACAGAGAAGAGTAACGAAACATACAAATTACTTTTTTTAAAAAATTATAATTTTGAAAGTGAAGAGCGCATGTTAAATGTTGTGAGTTTTAAACTGGACGTATTTCTGTCAAACGGACCTAAGCGCCATAGGGTGAGAAAGGTAGAGGGGGGCTTGGATTGGCGCTTGGTTCCGTTTGACAGAACGCGTCATCTGGCATTCTAATTTCCTCAAAAGGAACTCAAATTGGCGTTTAGTTTCGTTTGACAGAAATACATCCAACTGATATTCTCATTATTGGTGACTGTATACATGGGAAAGGGGCCTCGAGGTGGAGGCATAGATAAAACATTTGTGAGAGAAATCTTGGTCACTAAAAAAATCGATTTTTTTAGTTTTCGATGAAAACCCGCTTTTTGTATCCTAAATAGTTGAAGTTGCCAGACCATAGATCTTTTTAGGGCAGTGAACGGTGTAAACTTACATTTTAATCCAAGAATTCTGTGTATCCGTGAAACATCAGTCAACTTAATAAAACTTTGAATAACTTTGTTTTTGAGAGGTACGTTTATTGAATTTTTAGTTTCAAATCAACAACGAGTGTGCTTCGCTTTGATAGATCTGGACGTTATCAAATAGTTAATAAATAATTAATACCCTGGTAAAAATTGGCAGTAGAATCTGTGTTCCAAAATACCATAGACCTACAGCCGGCTGTAAGATTTCCAACAGCTTCTATAGCCGGCAACACAATTTCTTATAGCATTTTATAGCCGATGGCGATTAAGCAACTCACAGCCGGGCGATAAAGTGTATGCTAAACGTCACCAATTACGGATGCTAGGACTTAGTGAGTTCTTGGACTACCGCTCTCTTTTTGGGCCATAGTATCTTGATTTATTTTGCGAGGAAAGCTCCGTACTTTTGAAGGATGCCCGCTATTCCTAATATATTGGAGCGCCTTCAATTTCGGATGATACTGTGCAATACCTCTGGTGTGAAATAGTTGCTTCAAGCGCCGTGGTACGCTGCGACGCGACGCGCCGTGGCACGCTGCGACGCGACGCGCCGTGGCACGCTGCGACGCGACGCGCCGTGGTACGCTGCGACGCGACGCGACGCGGCGGGCGGGCAGCCAGCGCAAAACGCGCATTGGCGCCTACAAACCTAACGGGGATACTTCACGCATTGCGCAATGCGTGAAGTATCCCTGTTAGGTTTGTAGGCGCCAGTGCGCCGCCGCTCCGCTTTGTGTTAGGCTCTAATATTTGATCTCATGGAGTCAGCGTTTTTAAACTCATGACCTTGAAATGTTTGCACACTCTGTATGGATTAATCTCATTTTAATTGATTAAAAAAAAATATGTAGTAAAGGAAAATATAATGTGCGTTTTGTAAATATTAAGGTGATTCCGTACAAACTTAAGGATTTACAAAGCACACGAATTTCTACACATTTTCTTATAGCCTTTTATAGCCGATGGCGAAAAAGCAACTGCCAGGTGATAAAGTGTAAAGCCTGACGATATGAACGATAGCCCGGCTGTATAATTTTTTATCGCTTCGTGTAGCCCGGCCGTAAGATTTTTTCCACTTTCTACAGCCAGCTATATGATTTTCTATCGCCTTCTTCAGTCGGCTAGAAGAACTCCTATGGTATTTTGAAACGCAGCTCCTATCGCCAATTTTTACCAGGGTAGTTAATCAATAGTCAAGAAATGGACTAAATTAATTAGGAAAGAACCGTGTCTGATGGTGGGAGGGGGGGTAGATGAGTTAAGGGTAGTTTTGAGCTATCTAGACATTTCCTCCTGTCAAAATTTCAGTGTCAAGAAAAAATATTTTTAATACCGAAATAGGTGTTAAAATTTCTATTTATAGTACTGCATCTTACGGAGGAATAAAACTTCAAACTTCTTTTTCTCGGTGGAATAAAATTTCTTCGGAGGAGGAGGAATAAAACTTCTCTTCAATCGTAAAGCGACTCAAGTCCCTTCCGCTGGTTAATTGTTGAAATTGACAGACAAATCGATAGACAAAGAGGACAACAACGGGAAAATGGAGCAATCTATTGGTTGAAAAAACTTATGGTTGTGATGGACCAAGGGAGAAAATGATGGATTATACGGTTTCTCGTTAGTAGCCGTGAGTTAAAGTCCATAATTTTCACCGTCTTGAATAACCGCACCGTTTGACCAATAGCATCGCTTCATTTTCCCCTTTTCCTATTCGTCTGTCCCTTTTATATCGATTTCAAAAATCAGCCCGCTGTTATAACATTGGTTCGAAATTCTTGCCTTTGAATGGTGGTTTCAATATCCCTAATTCGAATTTTTTCATCTCTGAGGTCCTTTTTCCCGTATACGGGTCACATTTATTGATGTGATCTCAAGCGTGACGACTAACCTAACATCGTGTGGCACGGGGAGTGTGGCCCCTCGATCCAACAAAATTTTCAGGATTTCGTAATTGTTCATATGAGCAGCCAATATGAGCGGTGTTATGTCCGGTGTAAATGTCGAAGAGCTCCTGTCGACGGCTTCCCAACTCTGAAAAATGAATTTTTCAGATTCCGATATCAGATGCAGATACCAATAGTAGGTATAACAAATCTCATCAAAGGTAAGCCATCAGGCTTACCTTTGATGAGATTTGTCCTGATTGCAGCGTACCAACATTTTCGCTTCCATATTATATTTTTAAAGGGAAACTATCCTGTTCATTACTTTACACAGAATATTCTCCGTATGAAGGAGAGGCATCATCATAAGCGTAGCTAAAAATCTCTTTTTGAAACCAAGACGAAAGGGATCATATACTCTTTGATGAGTTTAGTCACATTCAGTATTTACATGAACCAAAAAAAAATATATATATAAACGTATATATTATGTAAATTCTTACCAGAAGTATGGTAAATCCTATCTTGAGCCCACTTTATTTTTGACACAGTGATGATGTAGAGTAAATAAAACCAGACACCTGGCAGCATTTACCATATTTTTGGTGAATTCGATTAGAGTTACGGTATTTGTTACCAGAGCCTGTTGGTGGTTACCATACAAAAATCACCATACCTAAAACCATACTTTTTTTGTCACTGCTTAAGGTCTAGAAGGTGCTAAGATAGTGTTTTCTTGTAATAACATCAATATTTATCTGCGAAATCTGCTTAAATCACTTACAAACATTGATTTATTACCACAGCAATAGGAACGAAGCTTTTCACATAGGTGTCAAAATAAAATATATAGATATAGATATAGATATAGTAAAAGCAAATTGATGGGCATAATTTGGGGGAATTGATACAACTACTTTATCCTCGCCATAAAACAGTGGTTTGGATTCTCAGTGAATTAAGATTCTTTGAACAGAATGTCATACTCACATAAGGCTGCCCAGGTTTGTGGATTTTTTCTTCCCATTCAAGTAGAATCTCCACAGCTTCAACGTACTCTTCCTTAATTGCATGTAGAAGAGCATCCTAATACAAACAAAAAAATTAAATAGTTAAATAATTATCTTGGAAAATAAGCATAATTATTAGGGATCACCCCCTTAAAAGTATCTCGGCTAAACGAGCAATTGAGCAATGCATGAATGAAATGCAACCCACCATAAGTTTTTTCCTCATCTCTTAACTTCTCCAAACTAAAAACAGTATTGATGAAAATTTTAAATACAATTTTTCATTAATCCGACTTTCATTTTGCAGAACACAGATTTAGCACTGCAGTTATTGCCGGCACAGTTGACGAGGGCTCTTTTTACTGCCACCGACATTTTAATGGTCGATTCACTTATGTTAACGAATTTCAGTAAACTTATTGGTGTAACTATATTTCGTCGTTCCTCTGACGTGAGGGCGGATCTAGATTTCCGCATGAGCCCTGTTCTCCGCATAACTCTATGCTTTCCGGGGCCCCTGTAGAAATTGAGATACGCCCTTTCCTTAGGTCAGAGGAGCGACGATTTGTGGTATGAACATCATTGAAAGATAGAAAAGAAATACTCTAGGGATTCCGACCTAGTGATTCAAAAAGACGAAGAATCGTACAATATAATATGAAATCGTCGATATGGAACATTGACAAACCTTGACTTCAATCCCAAGTTCGAGGAGGACTCTTATTAACTCTATATTTTCATTTTCGATCGCTGCGATGAGTGCTGACCTATTCAGAGGATCAACGCAATTGATGTTCAATAGCTCTGGGTGATCTTTGTGCTCGGCGATTATCCTGGAAGATGAAAACAATTACATTGAGAGTTATGACTAAATTACAGCGGAGACATGTATCGCTAAGGAGTTCGCGTAAACTCTTTGAGAGGCTCAATAAACCTGAGATATAACATTCTTTATGGGAAAGAAACAATTTCCATGAATTTTAGAGCTAAAAAAGTTTGACTATTTTCATTGCTATTTTATAAATAGGTGTCGGCTTCTCGGCTGCGATAACTCAATTGTCTTTTATGAAAAAACTAGTGGTCTACTCGTACTTAGCAGGAAAGGAACCAATCCACATCAGCTACTACCGATAATTTAATCGGGCACTTTAATTTTTTACATGAAAACGGCTGTGCGGATTTGTGTGCAATTTCAGTGAATTTTCTGCACGGTACGAAGCAAATGCCTTAATATTTTCAAAATAATTCGCACACATGTTCTCTTGGAAAAAATTGAATTGCCCAGTTTTTAGCAATAGCTGATGTGGCTTGGTTTCTTCCTACTAAACGCGGTTAATTTGCATCTTATGAAAAACTAGCGGTCTACCCGTGCTTCGCACGTGGCGTGGCGCCCAATTGCGCGCTTATCAGCGAACATTCCATGTCTGCAGTCAAATGAATGGTAGTTACGAAATTTCCGACTTTGGTGACGTATTTATGGGTGATGTACCATTACAACGAGTAAAATCATCCTCTCCGCATGAACGTAGCTAGTGACTCTAGTAGAGTTGCATTCGTATTTTCAACCTGGTAATTTTCTCCGTTTGTTTTTGCTAGGTTGTGGAATGCTCGTTTATGGGGATGGACGAATATCGAATTCGGATGCGATTATTCGAAACTTTTCGAATGCGATTATTGAAATTATTTGAGAATTCGAATCTTGCGATTGCGAATACTTCGGAAGCGAATATTCGAATATTTTCGATCATTGCTTCGATTTATGATTTTTTATGAACCGTGAGAGATAAATGACACTTTTAACTAAGACGATTGGTCATTCTCGTGTGAAGTTGTGGAGGGGTTTTAATTAATAACGAAATTGATGATAGGGATGGACGGTTTTCGAATTCCAATGCGATTATTCGAATATCGAATTTGCGATTTCGAATACTTCGGAAGCGAATATTCGAATGTGATGCGATTATCTCGGTGTCGATAATTCGAATATCGAATATTCGATTATCTAAATATTCGACCATCCCTAAACAAACTGAAAATCTCAAATGATTTGGAGGGAAGGAGGTAACTTAGTAATTTAGGGCTGGAAAATTCACGGATTTGGTTGATCGAATCATGAGAATTCTGACCTTTTGACAGAGGCGATATCTCCCCTTTCGCTGAGCAAGAGGAACCTTTTCTCGATTTGGGAGAGGGCAACCTCGCCGCCGGTGGACTGCAAGGACTCTCGGGGATTTTTTAGGTTTTCCTTCGACCCCAGAAGGTCCTCCTTCGATTCCGTCGGCTTCATCCTGCCCCTCGCACCTGCATCAAAACCTCCAAAAATTCAAAAATAAAAAAAGGCACGCGTGGCGATCTGCGTTTGTGAGTTGGCAAGACAGTTTTTCCTCTATTTAAATCCATTAGGAAACATCGATTTTAGGCGAGAAAGCCACCTCATCAAGAATCGATTATTTTACATATACATCTAAACGGAGGAAAAACAATGTTGCCAACCTGCATGAATTGCCACTATGTACAGTTAGGATCTCTATACTGCCGTGCTAAGGAAGAACGCCGTTTGAACATTCGAGATTTGTCAAATTTCCCTTGATAATTAACCCCTTCGGTATTTTTAACGCAATTTAAACATGAAATTTTCAGGTATTTTAGATTGAATCGCGTACAAAATTGTCCGAAAATTTTGGGGGAATATATTTACAATTTTCCCAGTAAATTTGGGTTTTCTCGAAGAAAATTTGGCAACGTTTGAAGGCTCATAAGGCGTTCTTCCTTAGCACGACAGTATACGTCTCACGCAAGACTTGCTCCGTGTTCTTAATTATTGTTCAGTGGCTTATTTAGAGAGTATAAATTGAATGGATTAATCGAGAATCAGCCTGTGCGGCGATTTTTCAAGTTGACAACATAGTTTCTTCTCCATTTAAATCCATTTAAATTATCCATTTCAGGTGAGGCAAGCTGTCTCACTAACAATCGATTGTTTTACATACATTTAAATGGAGGGAAAACAGTACTACCAACTTTCAAGAATCGCCCCTGAACCAGCTGTCTGCATTTTTTGTTTCCTAATTCCGAACAGAATTTATTCTTTCACAAGATAATCGATCAAGATAATAATGCCTAAAACTATTTGCAATTTTTTTTTCAAAATTAAGAGGAATATCCTTGCTACAGTTAAAGCTGGAATATTGCTTCATTCTCGATCACAAAAGTAAAACAATTTTTGTTCAAAATTTAGAGGAATATCCTTGCTACAATGCAAGCTAGAATATTACTTCATATATATATATATGAGTCGCTTTTATAGCGCTCTTTGGCGCTGTGCGACGCCTAATCGCCACAAAGCTCGGTCTTCCCACAGGTCATCAGGGAGTTGACAATCTCTTATCTCATTTAACACCCCCTGTCGCCAACCTCGCACTGGGCGTCCCCTACGTCTCCTCCCAGGAGGAACCCAATCAAGCATCTTTTTTGGCAGCCTCTCTTCCGTCATCCTATTGACATGACCATACCAAACAAGTTGTTTGGTCATGACGTCGAACACGATGTCATTTTCGACTTCCATTATCTGACGCACTCTATCATTACGGACCCGATCTCTCCTAGAAATTCCTGCTGCCCTTCTCCAGAAATCCATCTCCGTTGCTCTTAGCATATCCTGTGTCCGTTTCTTCAGCTGCCAAACTTCACATCCGTATGTTAATATACTTTTGACTACAGCGTTGTATATCCTCCTCTTGTTATCTTTGGAAATCCGCTGATCCCAGAGGATTCCATTTAACATCGCTATAGCCTTCCTTGCTAAGGTGTTCCTTTCCCTGATAGCTTGATCCGTCCTTCCATCCTGGGTCAACCGCACTCCCAAGTACTTAAAGTGCTCGCAGCCTTTGATCTGCTGCCCATCCTCCAACTCAATGCTTTGCTGATCACCGCCAAAAGTCATCTTCTCAGATTTGGATATGCTGACTTCCAGACCCCACTTCCGATACTCTTCTACTAGCTTGCGCATCATGTATTCCGCGTCATCTTGATCTTGAGCAACCACCACCTGGTCATCAGCAAAGCACAGAGTAAACAGAGTTTCGAGATCACCCAAGGGGACACCCATACCAGAGCATTTCTTTTTCCATTCTTTTAGCACGCACTCGAGATAAATTTTAAATAATGTTGGCGACAAACAACATCCCTGTTTTAAACCCTTAGTCACATAAAATCCCGCTGACAACCCCCCATGGCACTTAACTTTGGTAAAACTCCCTTTATAAAATCGCTTAACAGCGTCAATCAACCCCCCGTTAAAATTCGATTTTTCCAAGGCCTCCCAAAGTTTCACCAACGGCACGCTGTCATACGCCTTCTGGAGATCCACAAAAATTAAATGCAGTTCCTGAGCTACGGCCATTTTCTTCTCAATGACCTGGACAATAACAAAGAGGTGATCTATCGTAGACCTGCCAGCTCTAAAACCAGCCTGCTCCTCTGCTTCGTGATCCTGCCATTCGTCCTCGATCTTCGCTTTCAGTATCTTCCCGTACACTTTGCTTATTGTCCCGGTCACTGAGAGCCCCCGGTAGTTGTTACAGTCGTCCTTCCTTCCCTTCTTTTTGTAGATGGCCTTGATCCAAGACTCCTTCCACTCCCTTGGTACCTCGTCACCCCTGATGCATTGTTGCATCAGTTTTCTGAGGCACTCAAAGAGCTTGGCAGTCCCGTACTTGACCAACTCGACAGGAATCCCACCAGGACCCGGTGCTTTGTCATTTTGCAGCTCTTTGACCGCTTTAATTATGTCACAAGTGTGGATCTCCAAGTTGTTCATTCTTCCGTTGTCCGTGCTGTTGTCTCGAAACTCTGGGCGCCTTTCCGTCAAAAGATCTTTAAATATAATAAGAATATTACTTCATTCTCTATCAAAAAGTAAACCATAAGAACAATTTAGAAAGCTTGCGATGTATGCGGGTACAATTCCTTAGGCACTGCACGTACTCAGTATGACAGGGCCGGATTAACATTTAGAGACTCAGTGCTCGCGGATAAAGGGAACCGCACATTGCGAGTTGCATACTTCGTCAATTGAAGGCGGTTCAGGATTGTAAGAAAACAACAAAAGGTCCCGAATGCCCTTACTTTCCAGGAAATAGAAAATAATGATTTTTATCGATTCTTTTCAATTCGCCACCCCCCTCTCCAATACTCTCGGAGCCCATCAAAATTTCAGTCTTAAGAACCCGTAAAATATTGAGATCAGAGCTCAAGAGAGAAAGGGGTTGATACTCGGGGTTTCTGTCTAAATTTTATATAGTTATTAGATCAAAATTAAAAAGGATGGACATATTTTAATTAAATCAATGGCAATAAGTCCATAATTGCCCATCCCTGTCGAAACTTTTGACCCTTGAAGTTTGGGGGGAGGGGGAGGGGGAGGGGAGTAGAGTCCCTTTAATAAAATGCTAGGTCACTAAATTTTGATCAACATTACAGGTTTTCTATATAAATATGTAATTTTTTCTGCTGAAGTCACGCAAATCTATAACTGAAAAAAGAGCACTGCTGAAACTCAAAGTTTTGTCCGTCCAATCATCGTCCGTCGTGCTTAATCGACGAAGCTGACTCGTAATGAATCACAATTTCCACAAAATAGAACCCACAATAATCTTCGAAAAAACACTAAAAGCAACATAGTGACAATTATCTTGTCCCGATAAATTTTTTTTTTTTTGTGAGTTACTCATTAAAACATATAATTTAATGGGAGGGGGGGGGTTATTATCATGGAATTTTGCAAAAGTGTAAAATATGGGACTTCTTTAAAATATCATCAATTTTGGCCATTTTGAGGTTTGACTATTAAGTTTTCCGATGTAGCCAACAACTCTAGGTGACACAAATTATTTACCGGAGCCACTTGTTAATATTACTCAAAAAGTGAGTTAGTGGAATCACTTGCACCCTTTACAATTTTTGAAACTACTCACAATGAAAACCAGTGAGGGTTGGAAAATGTTACTATCTTTTCACGGGTAAAATATGGTTTGACGTCATAACATTTTCCTTCCTCCAGAGGCAACATCATTTTCTGAGAATACGATGTTTTGGTTCATTTTCATAAAAAAAACGCGAAGGATATGAAATAACTAGGGATCTACGCCCCTGGTTGCTACGTGGTCCAACCTCCGGAGGGTGCTTAGCGACTCCCTAAGATTCGCTTCGCGTGTTCCTGTGAGTTAAATTTCCAAAATCTGAATGGAACGGGCTCATTTAAAGACTATTATCTGTGGATATCCGCAAAATTCAGATAAATCGCCCCAGTGTAATACCGGAAGGAACTGTGACAAAAAATGAAGATTTAGATTTGCTGGAAAGTCGGTGTTTCGGTTAATTTTTATAAAAGTAATAAAACATAAAAGTACCCCGATTAATAAACTACAAAAAGCGAATTTACTAAAGGGTATCAGAGGAAGATCGGAGGGAGGGGGTCAAAATTGATAAAAACCATCTTTGAAAGGGATCTTTTCATGACCTCAGACTATCTGAAAAAATCCATACATAATATGGGCATTCTGACCTGATTGTCCCAGGGTATCATTCTTACTGAATGTTTTTAAGATTATGAAGGATAAGTGAAGGGCTTGGAGGACAAGGCGCATAAGTGCGGTTTTTGCTATTTCGAGAAATTCGTGTATGAAGTTTCGAAATTACTCGGTTCTTCATGGTGGAGAAAAAAGTTCAAACTGCCTTTTTGATGAAATTGGAATTTGGAAGCGAATTTTTCACAGAATATGCATCAAGGCTAGTTCTACTTGAAATCATTAATATCTCAATTTTTAAGAAAACTACCCTTATCCGCCTTGTGCTCTGAGCCCCTCAATTAAAATCTGAAAATCTATGTAGATCTTCAATCGGTTTTTTCCCCGTTGCGCTGAACAATGAATTTGAGTTTCCACCCCGAGGCACATTTTGCCGGGCTCGATCGCGATTAATAGGTCTGAGGGATCTTACCTGGGAAAAAGCGTTATCCAAAAAATGGAGCACTACCCAAAACTGGGATGGAATGGATTACTCCATCGTGGCGAAAACGACAAGCAAGCACAGACTGTCCGGCTCGGGTGGCCCGCTGAGTCGGCCTAAGGATTCCTCCGCAAATCGAATTAGCCCAACATTCTGCCGTGATAGCGAAGAGAGCACTAAGTGCATGCTGGGATGAACCTCGAGACTCATAAAAGCATGTCTTAACCATGGCTTATACAGAAATGCACTTACTGCTCTCTTCGATATCACGACAGCATTCGTCGGAACATGCCCAATCCACGCTTGTCCAAGATCGACGCCTCGCCGCGCCGGCCGGCTGAAAACTTCGCACACCGTCAGAAACGTATTCTCACTCTCATGCAGTTCCCATTCCTGTATTTTTTTAGACTCAAGCCGCTTTCCTCGCTTTTAGATTTTTGCGAGCTGTCTTAGAGATGAAGCGCGTTTAGCAGAAAGGGGCCAAGACACATCAGCTATTGTCAAATTTAATGGGGCAATTTACTTTTTTACCCGAGAGCGTTTGTGCGAATTCCTTTAAAAATTCTAATGAATGCAAAAAATGCAGAACATTCATTGAAATTTGCACAAAAATCTGCACAGCCGTTCTCATGTAAAAAGTTGAAGTTATCAATTAAATTTAACAATAGCTGATGTGGTTTGGTTCCTTTCGGCTTAACGCGGTCCAAATATGTGTGAAAAGCTACCTTATGTTCCAAACATTCAAATTTGAGATATTGGAACGCTGCATGGTGAAAGGAAATCTGGAAATTTTAGCGCAAGTTTGACACTGGATGCTCAAAAATTGAGGGGAACATTGACGGTGAAACTGCAAAAATGCGTATCTCGGTTCCGGTGTTTCGAAATCTCCGCTACAATTTTATTTTTCAAAAGACATTACCATTCCAAACCAACATTATGTCTTGAAATTTTTACAGAATATTCTTCATAAACAGAAGACAGATCACTGACATTTTCAAAAATGACGTTCAGTAGTTTTCCATGTAGAAAATATAGTATGACAGGGAGTCTGCAACAGATACGCATTTCTACAATTTCACCATTTTTATGACGCACTGAAGTTTCAAGATAAACATTTTTGAGTTGGTTTAGTTTGTAGTATACCCAACCCTGATTCCGATTTGATATGCCCTTTTGTGGCGTTTTTTATCAAGAGATAGTTGTAGAACACTCCTCTATGCTTTGGTATCAATGACAGTTTAAAATGTTTTGGATTGTTAGTGCGCCTTCAATTCCGTCTGATACTGTGCAATACTTCCGTGGTGGAATAGTTGCTCAGAGCGCCTTCAAGAGTATCGCTTCGACTTGATGGCAGAGGATCACGATTGTCGCCGATATTACGCGTTATAGCGTGTGCGCAATTACGCATTTTCTCATCAGCAACGGTCCGTGAGGTGAAGAACATTCATGCCTCAATTTGCGACGTTGCAAGTCTTTCAGTGCCTTATATTTTGTGCGGGTAAATGAATATGAACGCTTTAAGTCCTGCCGTGATTTTTCCGAGAAATGACCAGAATATATTTTTATTTAATGTGAAACTTTGAACAGGAAATGCCCAACTTCGCAAGTTCAGGTAAGTTTCTGTGAAGTTTTGATATAGATGTACCTATGATGCAACCTGGTAAAAGCCTCGTCTTTATGTACCGGACGGATTAATCTAAAGCTTACGTCTTACGCATGCTTCTTCAAGACTGTGTTCCAACTTATAAAGAACTTATCGTTCGCTGGGCTTTAATCTGATATCAATCTCACAAAGGGAGTCTACGAAGTGACATCCTGGGATTGGGTTCATTTTGCTTGTACATGAAGGAGAGACAAATCTAAGGTTGACGTATTTTTTTTTAGCCGCCACCTCCCAACCGTTCTCGAGATATCGATTTTTAAAGTTACGATTTTTGCACGTTTCCGCGCGGAGTTCCGGCGAGTCAACTGAGCGCCGGCAAGCTGCACGAAGCGCGTTTCCTATCAGCGCTGCAGACCGGCCAGTCTTATCAATAGTTCCGTGGCCAAGTGGTAGAGTGTTCGCCTACCGTTCCATGGATCGCGGGTTCGATTCCCGCTTTGTGCCGTAGCTTGTAGGGTACGCCGCAATGCGTTTTTACAAGTTTTCTTTATTTTTATCACTCACCAAGGGGTCCGCCCCCTGGCCGCTGCGCGGCCCAGCCCCCGGGGCGAAAAGGCGCGCTTCGCGGCAAGCGAAATCATCGAAATCGACCGTTGACGGTTACTGGGTAAATAATTTTAATTGAATGATAAAATGATGTTTCAAATAAAAATTTCTCACCACACTATATTCTTAATGACTTTTTCTTTACTCTGACTTTGCAACCGTCAACGGTCAATTTCGATGATTTCGCTCGCCGCGAAGCGCGCCTTTTCGCCACGGGGGTTGGGCCGCGTAGCGGCCAGGGGGCGGACCCCTTGGTGTGTGATAAAAATAAAGAAAACTTGTTAAAACGCATTGCGGCGTACCCTGTAAGCTACGGCTCAAAGCGGATTTCGAACTCGCGATCCTTGGAACGGTAGGCGAACCCTCTACCACTCGGCCACGGAACTATTCATAAGAATGGCCGGTCTGCAGCGCTGATAGGAAACGCGCTTCGTGCAGCTTGCCGGCGCTCAGTTGACTCGCCGGAACTCCGCGCGGAAACGTGCAAAAATCGTAACTTTAAAAATCGATATCTCGAGAACGGTTGGGAGGTGGCGGCTAAAAAAAAATACGTCAACCTTAGATTTGTCTCTTCTTCATGTACAAGCAAAATGAACCCAATCCCAGGATGTCACTTCGTAGACTCCCCTTGTCAGAACTTCACAGACATGGAAATTGAATCCTTTCTTCGCAGAAATTACACTTTGTCCCTCTTTTGATTTTTCCTTCTATCCTAACAAGGGGTCGTTCATAAATTACGTAGCGCAATGGGGACGGGGGGTCGAGCGCTACGAGATTTTGTTCTTACGTGTTAAATGATGGACACTTACCTTACAAACCCGTTACAAGGCGGGATCGAGAGAGACAAAAATGCTAAAAAAGTACGTTACGTAATTTATGAACGCTCCTTGAGTACCTTTTATCAATGTATTCTTTTTTGGCATACCTTTTATGGAAAGTTGTTGAGCCGCGTGTTGCATCTTATTATAATTATGAGTGAGAAGAATATGTGCCAAAGATGCATAATTTTTACAATTTTATTTTTGAGTTGCTGATGCATTTTAGGACTCAGTCCCATCATCACAGCATTATTTAAGGCGGATATATTGCAAAGTTACATGTTAGAAAAATATAATAGCGATTTATAAAAGAAGTGACAAACTGAAGGTACAGTAAAACAGGATATTGATAAAAATTGCACCATAATTGAGGCGAGTTACAAGTTTACAGAGTAGGTAATGCATTAGCAATTCAAAAATAAAATTGTAAAAATTATGCATCTTTGGCGCACGTTCTTCTTACTAATATCTTTTTTGGTAAACAATAATACGAAGATGTCAATGGATGCAAAAATTACACTAATTCTCTCTTGCTCCATACAAAAAGGCATTAAACTCAAAAACACCATGGACATGGGTGATTTTCAGCTTGAAGATCTTTATTTTTGGTAGTGTATCTATATAGAGAGATGCTATATTTGACTGGGAACAATTATTTCCGATTTTTACGGGCCCTCCACAGTCAAGAAACTTGAAAGTAACTAAAATCTAGGGTGAGGCAGATTTTGGCCTTTGGTGACATCCCTCCATTTCTGAGTATTACCTTGTCTATATTGACGCATTGATACCAAAAGGAACTATGTGCATATGGTTTGCGTGGAAAATAGTTCCTTTTAGCATAAATACGTCCATATATAGTTTCATCGATGAAAATAGGATGACCAAACGCCTAAATGGAGCATGTAGAGCAAACGTAGATGCGTGGTTTTAAAGCTAGTAATCGATTCGGTAAAGGAGGAAGAGCAGTGAGAAAGTGAGATACACAATTGGATGTATTTATGCTAAAAAGAACTATGTTACACGCAATCCCTATGCACATAGCTCCTTTTGGCATAAGTACGTTCAATTGCACAATCATGAGCGGCATTTTCCTGCTCAATAATATATTTAGACTATTGACATGCAGGTTACTGAACAGGCCCAGAGTTAAATGCACTCTACGCCCCGCAGAGGCGGTTGCAACCGCAAGCGGAAGAATTTGGATCACCAGAGCATGGACTCTAAGGCTTCCACCATTTAAGCTCATTACAATTCAGTCATCGTTGTCACATCGCATGATCTTCCTGGAACATAAACCTCAAGACAAAGAGAGGAACAAATGTTACTCTTAATAAAATCTTATGAACCCTCAAAAACATTTTCTTACTCACTCTTCTCCATTCCTGTCCATTCATTTTACTCTAGGTTTTTTTGCTGATTTTTTTTGCACAATGCCCATAAGATATATATACTTCGACTTCAAGATATATATACTTCGGGGGGGGGGGCAGAAAGGGAACTCGGGGGCTTCCCAAAGAAAATTTTCGACGTGTTAAAGAATAACTAAGGGCTTATGGGGCTGCTTCGCAGCCCCTTATTTTTCCTGTACACTTTTCACTTTCACATTTTTTTTTTTTTTTTATTTATTTTCATTTAATTTTCTGTTTTGTCTTTGAATCGGGTCTAATTATTTCTTTGAGAGAATAAATATAACAAATGTTTTCAAAAATTGTAATTTTATTTAGTAAACTTTAAACTAAAATTTTGTTTTAATCTTCATACAAAATTATTTTTTAGGTTTTACTTTGTTTTCAAACTAATTTTAAAGAAGATCTTTTTTTATTTTTTAAATACTTTGCTTTTTTTTCGATTAAATTGTTGATTCTTCTTTTGCCATTTCTGTCCTGCTTTTCTTCCTATATTTCCTACAACTTTGCTCTTCTTCTTTCCTCCTTTGTCTTTTCTTTTTTTGCTTCTTCTTTTTCTTCTTCAGTAGCTGTTCCTTCTGGTTCTTCCGGAACGCATCCGGAATGCAGCTGCATTCCGGATGCGTTAAGGGGTGGGAAGGAGGGAGGAACGGA